AAAAAAAAAAAAAAAAAAAAAAAAAAAAAAAAAATCAAAATCATACGGATAGTAACAGTTTCATGTCATTGACATATGGGACATACATTTTTGCTTGGGTTTTTTTTGGCTTTTTTACTTTAAACTGATGACCATATCTAAGTTCTCGATAAATGACTTTCTGAAAGTAGAAAATCAAATTTACTCACATTTTCTTTTTCTTAATCCCATGTTAACTGTCAAAGAGTGAACCTCAAAACTGGTCTTAACATCACTGCCACTTTTCTGAGACAGGAATTACAGAGAGCACTTACCTTTGCTGCTTTCTTGTCTCCTTCAGTGCGTACACCTAGAAGCCGTCTAAGTAGGAAATAGGATATTTCCAATTCTGTGAAGATCTCTGGTAAAGCTCCAACTGCACCAAGTACCTGTCCCACCATTCTGTCAGCTCGGCACAAAGTGGGGTCAATTTTTGTTCCTACTCCTGATATAAAACAAGATACATAAAGTCCAACTTTTTATTTCCCATTAAGCTGTCTACCCAAAACTTAGTCAAACAAGTAAAGCAAACACCTGTACGTTTTAACACACATTTACACTTCCACACTCATGTAATAGCTACATAGGTATGACAAAATATGTCTTACCTGAAGAAAGAATCATAAACCTACGGATTTGTTGGGCCTTTGGGAACAGTCATTTGATTTAAATTCTAAACAAAGGATAGAGATGATAGCCTAACTCAAAAGTGAGTGTGACTACACTTAATAAAGAGTAAGAAGATACAAAATTCATAATGAGTAATTTATAGAATATTTGCCTGCCAATTCTCCCCTGGAGGGCTAATCAAAAGAAAAAAAAAAACAAAACTTCATGACTTCATTATCTGATTCCTAGGATCCACTTCAAAATACTTGAGCTGTATATGAGGAGAAGGAAGAAGATATAAAGATGAAGCAAGATAAAGTATTGACAACTGTTCAAGCTGGGTGGTGGCTACATGAGCATTATCATTAAATTATATACAATAAACTCTTAATTACAAGATAGAATAAAAAAATGAACTATATACCTAAAGACCAGAGAACCAAAATACAAACTCCTTCTTTATCCAACAATTTCTTCTTTAATCCAAAGGTATAATAAGTCTAATTCTTACTAAATCTTATCTTTTTCTGGGTATCTGGTAATAACAATAAGTTGTAAGGGACCAGGAAATCCATAAATCATCTCGGTAATTCCTATATAATCAGAGTTATTTTTTTAGTCTCACCTCATAGTAAATATGATCTGACATGATTCAAGTGACATTTGTGGGTAACTTTCCATTTGCAAAACACACACAAAAACAACCACTCTCTACTGCCATAACTGCGTAGACAAAAAAGTATACTTAGGTATTTTAACACTGGGTCATAAAACTTACTTTATTGCTAAAAGGCATTCCTTTATATACTAAACCAAAATGTATTCTTCTTTATGCTTAAAATAATTTTTATCAACACATGAAACCATCTTATGAACTAAAATCAACAGTTTAACCACACAAACATTCCCCCAACCCAATCATTTAAAATGCCCAATTAAAAATCTACAGTACACCTTTTTGGGTACTCCTTTCCCCACGAAAAATACCACAAATTAAAAATGTAAGGTTAAGAAAAGAAATCCTTACCAATAAGACCTCCTGGAGCAGCATACTGAAGATCATTATGCTCCGCAAAAAGTGACACGATTTTCGAAAAGATTGGTTTACACATGAGTTTTCCTTCGCTATCTTTGGAAACAATACCAGGTCTGACTTCTATCTCTTGGCCCACCTGTAAACATGTAAGTTTGTAATTAGAATCACTCTGGGATGACACAATTACCACTTACATATCAAAAGTCCTAACAGGAAGACCCCGTAACTGAAAAGGCAATTCTTTTTCTATGTCAAAGACTGCTATTAAAAAACAAAACAGGGGCGCCTGGGTGGCGCAGTTGGTTAAGCGTCCGACTTCAGCCAGGTCACGATCTCGCGGTCCGGGAGTTCGAGCCCCGCGTCAGGCTCTGGGCTGATGGCTCGGAGCCTGGAGCCTGTTTCCGATTCTGTGTCTCCCTCTCTCTCTGCCCCTCCCCCGTTCATGCTCTGTCTCTCTCTGTCCCAAAAATAAATAAACGTTGAAAAAAAAAATTTTTAATAAAATAAAAAAAATAAAAAACAAAACAAAACAAAAAACAGATATAGAGTTTCAAAACCAGAACCATTCATCCAACTGTTGCTAACTACATACCACACACACCTCTCTCCATACTCAGAAAATAGTACTTTCTGTTTGGAGTATCCATACTATCCACCTTATGACTAAAACAAGAGAAAAACAGGGGCTCCTGGACAGCTCAATAAGTTAAGCATCTGACTCTGGACTTTGGCTCAAGTCATGATCTCATGATTCATGAGACTGAGCCCACATCAGGCTCTGCGATGACAGCATGGAGCCTGCTTGGGATTCTCTCTCCCTCTCTCTCTGTCCTTCCCCTACTCGAGGATCTCAGTATCTCTCTCTCAAAATAAATAAACATTAAAAAAAAAGACAAGGGAAAAACAAACAAAACAAAGACAATAAAAATCCAGTTCACCTTTAATACTCCTTTTAGAATACTACCACCAGCTACACCACCCTTAAGGTCATCAACTTCACAGCCAGGTTTGTTGACATCAAAGGACCTAATAACTAAAAGAAAACAAAACAAATTAAAGCCAATTCTGCTCGTTTTAACTTTAAAAGAAATGTTCTTTTCTAAGTTAACTTCTAAAATAGCAGCCACAGGGATGCCTGGGTGGCTCAGTCAGTTAAGCCACCGACTTTAGCTTAGGTCAGGATCTCACCATATGTGAGTTCAAGCCCCGCCTCCAGCTCTGTGCTGACAGCTCAGAGCCCGGAGCCTGCTTTGGATTCTGTCTCCCTTTCTCTGCCCCTCCCCCATTCGCACTCTGCCTCTCTTTCTCAAAAATAAATAAATCTTAAATTTTTTTTTTTTTT